ACTGTGTACTGGCCCAATAACTTGCTTAGACTGTCCTCCTATCTCACCCCACCTGGCCCTGGAGCTGAGGACTGAACCCAAAGCCTTGGGCTTGCTGGGCAAGTGCTCTCCCTGTGGTAGTTTGAATGTAATTGGCCCCCTTAATCTCACAGGGAGTGGAGCTATTAGGGGGTGTGGCTTGTTGAAATGGGTGTGGCCTTGTTGGAGGAAGTGTGTCACTGAGGGGGTGGGCTTTGAGACCTCCTATACTCAGACACCACCCAGGGTATCAGTCGACTTCCTGTTCTAAGACTCTCAGCTACTCCAGAACCACATGTGCCTGCTCATCACCATGCTCCCCATCAAGATGATAATGGACTGAACATCTGAAATTGTAAGCAAACCACTCCAATTAAATGTTTTCTTTATAAGAGTTGCCGTGGTCATAATGTCTCTTCGTGGCAATAAAAACCCAAAGACACTACCCTTGAGCCAAATTCCCAACCCCAAACCTTGCTTTCTCATACAACTCAGGATCACCTGCTTATGGGTAATACCCTCCACAGTGAGCTAGAACCTCTCACATCAATCATTAATCAAATAAATAAATGCCCCACAGACATGCCATGGGCCAATCTGATGGAGGAAATTCCTCAATTGAGATCCCCCCCCTTCCAAGATGTCTCCAGTTTGTGTTAAGTTGACAGAAACTAACCAGAAGACAGGTTTTTCTGAGAATTTCATACATGTATACAAGGAAATACGACCATACCTACCCTCCACCCCCACAACAACGCAATCATAACTACACGCTCACGCATCTCTGCCAATTTCATAACCCAGTGAAACTAGTTAGTACTACCAGTATATACATAGGTATGGGACCATCCACAGGAGTGTGGGCAAACTATCAGTAGTCACATGTCTCCCCAAAATGATTCTCCTTCCCCAAAGCAGCCATCAACTTCCAGTAGCTCCTCAGTTAGGGGTTAGGCCCTGTGAGCTCCTCCCGGTCCTTGCTGGAGTTTTGGCCGTCTTGATCTTGTACAGGTAACTACAGCTACTGTGAGATGTTTGTCCTTCCTGATCTGCAAGAAAATAACATTGTGTTGTGTTAAGTGCTCTCTTGGTGATCATTTGTTATAGCAACCACAGGAAACTAATACAGATACAGGCTAGACGAAGCCTACAGGTGGGCACAAAGCATAGACGTCTCAGAGAGCCCTGGTCATTGACCGAGGCCACTCCTAGCCACAGTGTGGACAAGACCAGAGAGGAAGAGGAAGACACCACCCACTTACCCAACTCTGTGGAGCCATGGGAGTCTGCACTCGTTGGTGCTTTATCACCTTGTCACAAGCTAGGGTCATCTGGAGAAAGGGAGCTTTGAGAGATTGTCTCCATCAGATTGCCTGTAGGCAAATCTCTGGAGAAACCTAGATTGATGGTTGATGGGGGAGGGCCCAGCCCACTGTGTGTGGTGCCACCTCTGATCAGGGGGTCCTGGGAGGTGTAAGACAGGTAGCCGGATGCTAGCTTAGAGAGGACACCTGTAAGCAGCTTTCCTCCATGGTCCCCATCTCTGCTTCCGCTTCAGTTCCTGCTCTGACTTCCCTCGGTGAGGGACTGTGATCAGGATGTGTAAGCCAAAGAAACAAAAGCGATAGGAAGCAAACCAGGACAGAACCCACCCCAGCTTTGAGGCAGGGCCTGGGTCAGGAGCTGGGGGACAAACGCCGAAGGACGGCCTTGCTTTAATAGGCTAAGCATTCTTCTAGGGAACAGTTTCAGTTACTGCTCTGAATTAAGTGTCTGGATGCAACTAAACCAGTGCTTCTCAACCCATGGGTCACGATCCCCTCACCAAACCTCTATCTCCAAAAAATATTTACGTTACAATTTCTAACAATAGTAAAATTACAGTTATGAAGTAGCAATGAAAATAATTTCATGGTTGGGGGTTACCACAACATGAGGAACTGTATTAAAGGGTGGCAGCATTAGGCAAATTGAGAACAGCTGAACTAAATTGTGAGGACCCCTGATGCTTTATAAATAAATAATAAAAAAAAAAAAAGACATTCCCACTGCAAACTTGAGTGTGACATGAATTAAATAATGAGACGCTGTTGTGGTTCCCACCAGAGGTGACAGTACAGGTGTATCTCCTATAGTGTGGAGGACTTGGTGGTCCAGAAGAGCGGCACACAGAATTTTTCTCCAGATGTTTTTCCTTCGCTTGCGTGCATATGTGTGCACAGTTTTATTCTCTGACAGTTCTAGAGAGATCAGAAGACAAAGGCCGACTCAGGACTAGAATTAAGATGTCTGTAAACCTGTTCTCTCTCTGTGGCTCGAGGAGCAAGGTACATTCTTGTGGGTCTAGAGGCTCCCAGCATGCCTTGCTATGCCCTCCCGCCTCCATCTTCAGAGCTTTCCAGCTGTCTGGCACTCTCTCTCTCCTGCCTCTCCTTCCTGATTAGCAATCACAAGGTTTAAAGTGAGCTGATGAGACACTTGAATTCTCCTTTCCAGTACATTGTGTGGCACATTCACAGGTCCCAGCGTCTGGGATGCAAAGAGATCTTGACCCTTCATCCAACAACTTCCAAATGGCATGGGCTTGGATGGGGAAGATCTCCATTCAGCCTGCCACACTGGGACATCAGAAGGAGAGAGGCATGTTTCCATCTCCCACACCTTCCCTGTGGCCAGATCCTTAGTCCCCACGGGACTCGCAGCCTCGACCTCGCTGCTGCACAGAGGGCAGCTTCTGCCCCTGCCCTGACCTCACTGCTGCACAGAGAGCAACTTCCGCCCCTGCATCCTCAGGCTCCCCGACTTAATGCCATTTCTAAAGCTTCCTTCACCCCCAAGAGATTGAGCCTGAAGCGAGGAAAGAAACAAACTTCCAAGTGATCTCCAAGGACCTCAGTCTCCCCAACCCAGCTCAACAGGAGGTGCAGGCTGCTAGCAACTCCCTCAGAGCTAAGGATCCAACCTAAACCAGCATAGGCTATGTTAATCCTAAACATGCAAAGAGAAGACCACCTACACTAATCATGGCCAAATTCATTAAAGCTAGTGTTATTTGTGTACACAGACTGTCTCTCCCTAAGGCAAGGTTCAAGAGATCAGCATTGGACATGGGGAAGATAAGGGTTTCTATAGCTCAAGAGAAGGGGGTTTCCAAATGGGGAATTTGGCAGGAAATAGGCGGGGTTACAGAAGCAGAACATAAGCATAAGAAGATGGTCATAACAACCCCCTGGAACAAAGACATGGTTGCAAGGTGGTCATAACAACATGTGGTCATAACAACATTTTGCAACAAAGGCATGGTTCCCATTTCCTGGAACAAGCAGTACAGAACCATTTGTAGTTATGGTTACAGGTGGAGCACAGCACAATCCTTGAGAAGCAGATTTAACCACAAACAGGAATAAGCCTAGGGTGACTATTCTATAAGATGGCTTTCAAGCCTAAGATGGAGGCAGGCTGGTTTGTCAGATACTGGGAACCCTCTTCATGGTATTCTGAAAAGACTGATGGTTAAAGTTCACAAAACATTGGTTCTTTTCTCTTCCAGTTTTTTTTTTTTAATCAAAGTCTCTTTCTATGCACATGCTGGCCTAGAACTCACAATCCCCCTGCCTCTTCTTCCCCAGTGCTGGGATTACAGGTGTATGCCACCATGTCCAGCTCTAAGCATAGTTCTCAATTTAGAAATGTCTTTCCCTCTCTCCATCCATCCCTCCTTTCCTCATTACCACAAACCTGCAATGTGGCCAAAGGATAAACCAATTTCTAATGTAGAAATAGGGTGAGCTAAAGAGGTAGAGGAAGGTTAAATGACGATGGAGTCCAAAATGTGGTTAAAGCTATTTCTAGCAAGTTTTTAGAAGGAAAGAGACACTTCTCAACATGTGATACATGACATGACTTTTGCAAAAGGCTACAGCCACTGTTGAGTGGAGTTAGGAGCCCTTGATTGTAGGCTGGGAACTTTCAGAATAGAATGTTAGAAGCTAGCAGACCTTTTGCCTCTACTCCTGTGGACAAGTACAAATTATCTGAAGCCCCTATGATAGTTAGTTTGAATTGTCAACTAAACACAACCTAGAGTCACGTAGGAAGTATCTCGTTGGGGAATTGTCTACACAGGGTTGGCCTATGAGGGGCTGGCTGTCTCGAGTTAGTTGAGGTAGGAAGACCTACCCACTGTGAGCCTGCATGTATCCATCTATTGCCGTTTGCTTCTTGATTATGGATATATGGTGACCGGCTCCCACAAGCCCTGCTTCTGTGACTGCCTCACAATGATGGACTCTAACTTGGAGCTGTGAGTTTAAAATAAACCCATTTGTCTGGGTATTTCACCCTCCAACAGGACCTCTTGCAAATCACTCAAGTTCTGAAAGCCTTTAGCTAAATGGACAATATACTTGAATTTGAAAGCAAAGGAGGCTCTCCTCTGAGACACTGTGAGGTCACAGGGTTTGATGTATTATTAAAAATCCAATTCAAAGTCCCATCGTTCAGGAACCAAATGATCTTCTTACATGGAAGGGCTTCCCACATTTTAATTATGGGAGGACAAAGCGAGGGCTTGGTACTCTGGCTTCTACATAATGCACAGTGAAAGAGAAGCCTCCAAGTGCGGAAAGCCAGAGCTCAGACAAAAGAATGCTGAGGTACATGTGCAAGCTTCCTTGAGAGGAGCTCTTGTGGCGGGTCATTCCTCAAGCCCTAGGCATGCAAGGACTTGGCATCAAGAACATGCATGCTCACCACTCAGTTTTATGTTAAGTAACAAAGAATGGTTTCTAAGTTTCAACAACACTATGGGGTCAGTTTCTTCAGGCTAGGCAGCCTGGAGTCTCTGGTAGGGGGAGGTCTCCAGGAAATGCTCACATTTAGTCCCTCACAGTGTGTTCCTTCTGCCTGTTGCTTTACTAGAACAAGCTGGAATGTTTCATATAGTATATTGTTTGAAAATTCACAAAGCTTAATTCTGGAAGGATATGCCTACAATGTAAGGGGGAAGCATATGTAATATATATATATATATATATATATATATATATATATGCATATTTCTAACTTTATGTAAAGCTTGTGTATACATGTGCTTTTTATATCTGTATGATGTTAGAAAAAATGCACAAAGTCTTAGAGCATGAAGCTCATGCATAATTTTAAACAACTTATTCCATATACTTTTCTGTGCTTTCCAGTTTTTCTGCAATCCATGCATACTGGTTTTACTATCTTAAAAACAAATACTAAAGCAAGATACCATGTAAACCTCTCACTAGGAAGATCAAAGTTGATATTCCACCTCCTCCTCCTTTAGAATGTGATCTAATCAATAAAAATCAAATGATGTAGAAAAGAGGAGTTCAAGGACTCACGAGTAAATTCTGGGACCGTGGTAGCCAAAGCAGAAGTGTAGGCCATCTGGTCTGGGGTGGGCCACCATTTTATCCCTCTTCCTTCTTTGGGAGTGTGGGTGCTCCCCCAAGGCCCTTTGCTGGGCAGTAGTCACCACTGTCAAGGTCTGGATGACCCAGAAGAGTTGGCCATAGGAGAGGCTACAAGCCTAGGTTGGCTAAGTAGGGTCTGTGAGCTGTTGGGTAGGAAGGATAAGCAGGGTGGGTATGGCAGGGGTTTACCCGGTGTAGCTGATTTATTTAATAGGGAAGTGTGGAGGCCAGAATGTTCACAGCCACTGAGAACGCAGCAAACTGGGCCAGCCAGGTGGTTCCTCCAGCTATCGCCTTCCAAGGACAACACTCCACCCAATCTAAGGATTTCTGGAACTCGTACCCTGACTTCAGGTACAGTAAGTATATCAAGAACACACAAATCAGATTAGTTAATGTATTTACTGTTCACTGTGTGCATTTTTTGTCAACTTTTTGTCAAGCTTGGGTCATCTGGGAAGAGGGAACCTCAAGAGAAAATAGCTCCATCAAATTGGCCTGTGGACAAACCTGTGGAACATTTTCTTGTCCAGTGATTGGTGTGGGGTGTCCCACCCACTGTGTCTCGTACTACCCCGAGGTAGGTACATGGTCCTGAGTTGTATAAGGAAACAGGCTAAGCCATCCATGGCCCTTGCTTCGGCTCCTACCTTTGCCTTCCTGCTTTCGTCCTCATTTTTTCGGTGATCCACTGGTTGGAGATGGGGGACTGAGATGCTGACCAGTATGTGGGTACAGACTTTCCAACTTCTGAACATGAACTTGACTATACAGTTCTGTGTCTCCTCTCTTACAGCCTTGACCTCTTCCAACTTTAGGTTGCTTAGCCACCATCTGAGTGTGAACAGAGCTTGGTCACAACAACAGCAGAGATCAATCCGCCCTCCAGGTCTCTACCTCCTCCAGGTCTCTCCGTGTGGTCCATTTAGACAGCTGCCTTAGGCAACCACCACTCCGTGAGACAGCAGACGCAACCCACATCACCCGCCCCTACATCTCATGTGCTCACCTGTGCTACAACACACCACGGTGTGTTTCCACAGCCCTCAGGCCTGCCTGCTCCACACCTGGCCATTAGAATACCCACAGACTCCTGAGTGAAGCAGAGGCTTCAGCCACCAAGCACGCATCTTCCTCTCTCGCTCCCCACTTGCTGGTTGAGCGTGCTTACCCTACCTGGCTCCCCTGCCTCATCCCACAGGTACGGCAGGATGCACTGCCCACCCTCTCTGGCACATCTGTATAAAGCACGATGTATCTGTTACTTTGTGTAATTTGTTGTGCCACATCTGGATCTACATGACCCACCAGCCAACCCTAAGTTCTTTCCTGGTCAGGGAGGGTCAACTTGGGAGGAATAAACTGGGCACAACCCAAACCAGGAGCCACAGGGTGTCTCCTGCTACCAGCTAGCTTTCTAGGGAGGGGCACCCTAGGTCAGAGTCATAGGCCTACTGCAGGGCACAGGATAAAAGGAAGGCCCCATGCAGATCATGCTTTAAACTCCCATAGGCACCTCCCCAGGAGGCCCCAAAAGGTCAGGCTTAGAACTAAGACTGCTCCCCTGAGACAGACCTCAAAGCTAGGTGTGGGGGGAAAATCCAACATGCTGAGTGATCCTGGAAATTCTGAAACTTCATCCAGATGCACCGGAAGCGAGGGAAAAGCTGAGGTGCTTTGGGGACTCCATCTCAGGAATGTGCTTCTCGGGCTGTGCACAGACTGAGTACCACTGAGCATGTGGCGAGCCCTGCTCTAAGAACCTTATTTTATTAACCACAGAACCTTTACCATGGCAGCAGAATGTGGCATTCTCATGTTACTATTGAGAAACTGGGACATGGAGAAATTTAGTCACTTGGCCCAAATTCCTGTGGGTAGCAAGCAAAGGGGCTTTTAGAGGACCTTCACTTCAGCTCTCCTCCCTGGGCCAGCTCTTACCCCTCCAGGGTCCTGTAGCAGCTCTCCTCTTGCTGCAGGTTTTAATTCAAATGACCAACGGTGCTGAAACTTCCCATTAGTGATCTTTGAAGGACCCTCAGATCTTGATAGATGATGCTCAGAAGCAAAGGAACAGAGCCCTGTAATTCCAGTACTTGAGAGGATGAGACAAGAAGACCACACACCTGCTCCTGGGTAGCCCGGGCTACGGAGTGAGAAAGATACTGTTCTAGCTCATGCCTACCCCTCTCCACCAAAGACAGCCCTCACG